TGGGGGGGCCGCGGGGGACACGCTCCAGGGCCGCACCTGCTGACGGCCGGAGCTCCAGCAGCCCTAAGGAGACACCGCAGGCGGCCGGCTCGAGTGACACGGTAGTTTCTCACGGTTCTGGGGGCGCATGTGGGTCCCGGGGGGCACCATCCTCCTGGCTTGGGGACCCCTCCTCGCCCGGACCTCGCACGGGGCACAGACAAAGGGAGCCGTGTGGTCTTCGTGGGAAGCCAGGAAAGCATCCCGGGGGCCCCACCTTCATGACGTCACCTAAGCCTAATCGCCTCCCCAGGGGGTCACCTTCTTGGGGAGGGGGGGGTCAGGGCAGGCGATGGCACGTGTTCCCGCCACGAGTCTGGGGGGCTCAGTATCGTGCTCGCGGCGCCCGCCGAGGCCCTGAGTTCACCCTCCTTCGGGTTCGGGGCGCGCGGACCCCACCTTAGCAGAGCTCTCTCGTGGCTCGTTCCCTTAAAGCGGACCCCTCTCCGCACGGTGGCCCCTGCCAGCCCCGAGAAGCGCGGGGTCACGTGGGGGCCGGGGGCAGTGAGCCGCCGCTTGAGCTGAGACGGGGGTTCAGAGGGGACAAGGCAGGCCTCCTACTGGAAAAGCGGGGGGCCTTTTCCTGCGCCCGCGGACTCCCTCCCCTGGGGCCGAGACGCTGTGTTGCGTCCGCTGCTCCCTCGCGGGTGCCTGCGCACCGCGTCCAAGGCCTCGTGCGACGCGGCGCACGCTGCCCCCGCCCCCGCCCCCCGTGTCCACCCCGCGGCTCCCGGCTCGCGCGGGCAGGGAGCGCGCCGGGCTGGTCCGGGCGTGTGTGAGCGCCCGGCGGGGACGCGCGCAGCTGGGAAGGCGCCTGGCCTCAGGCTCCGCCGACGCACCAGGACCTCACTTGCGCGACTTCGAAGATGCCGGTTGTCCTGCGCAAACATCGGGCCACCCCCGGGCGCCTGCGAAGGCGCCTCCTGTGGAAACAGGGCCTTTGCACGTGCAGTAAGGCAGCCCCCACCCAATCCAATACGGTGCTGCCCGTACAAAGGGGAGCAGACGCGGAGACCGACGCCGGGACAGAGGAGAAGGAGGAGAGGAGGAAGGCACAGCGACAGGTGACGTGTGTCCAGCCCAGGGACGCCCAGCCTCCCCAGCAGCCGCCCGCAGTGGGAAGGGGGCCTCGAACAGAGTCTCCCTGTGAGCCTCCACCAGGAACCAGCCCTGGGGACACGTGGACTTCAGATTTCTGGCCTCCAGACCTGGGAGAGGACACGTTTCTATGGCCCAAGCCACCAGTTTGTGGGACTTTGGTGTGGCAGCCGTGGGGAATTCGTGCCATACCATTATGAGCGATTTCCAGATGGCACGAACCCAAGCCTGGGGCCACGGACAGCGACGTCTCTGGGCGTGGACCGGCCGGGTCCGGGCCCGCAGGTGCGCGGCTATCTCAGAGTATCAGAGACATCGCCCATTGACACAGAGAATCGGGTCCGGGGGGGACTGTTGTTTCCCAGCTGCTGCCTTAACAAACGATCCCAAAGCACGAGGCTTGGAGCATCGGAGTCTGAGATCCAGGCAGGACAGGGCTGTGCCCCATCCTGAGGCTTCAGGGGAGGGTCCTTCCTGCCTCTTCCAGCCTCTGGGGGGGCGCCAGGCGTCCCTGGGCTCGTGGCCGCGTCCCTCCCTCCGTCTTCCTGGGGCTTCCCCTCTGTGTCTGTGTCTCCTGTTCTGACTTTCATAAGGACAGTCGTCATCGGATTTAGGGCCACCTTGATGCAGAAGGAGGTCATCCCAGAACCTTCACTTACTGTACCTGCAAAGACACTATTTGAGAGACACAGAGAGAGAGAGAGAGAGAGAGAGCAAACAGGGGAGGGACAGAGAGAGAGGGAGACACAGAATCCGAAGCGGGCTCCAGGCTCTGAGCTGTCAGCACAGAGCCTGACACCGAGCTTGAACTCACGAACTGTGAGATCATGACCTGAGCCAAAGTCGAATGTTTAACCCACTGAGCCACCCAGGCGCCCCTGCAGAGCTCCTTAGAAGTTAAGTCGCATTTCGCCCTGGCCCTTCCTGCCCCGCGGGGCCCCGGGCCTGCACATGACCCTGCACGTGGGTGCTGTGTGTTGACTGAGCCTTTCAGCCCCTGAGCAGGTGCCTCACGAGTGCTTGGCCGGAAGCTGTAGGGGCTGGTGAGTAACCCGGCTCCCTCGCTCTGGGCTGGGGGGCTCCTACCAGGTGCGTTCCTTCGTCCGCAGGGTGCTTCCCCAGCGGGACCGAGCGGCCGCTCTTTGGGAAGTCCCTGCCGCCCGGGCCTCCCTTCCCGGCCCTGCCATGGGCGCGTCCTCCCAAGCAGGCTGCTGGCCGAGGGCGTCCTGGTCCTGAGGGGGGAAGGCCATTCCCGAAGGTCCCCGTGCAAGGCAGCAGGAGACGGGCGCGGCCTGGACGGCTGCACGGAGGGGCAGGGAGAGCCGCTTTTGAGACCGTTTCCCAGGATGGAACTGCAGTGGGTTCTGTGGATGCTGCTGGGGTAGAAAGAGGGACCGAAGGAGGCTGGGTGCAGGGTGACATCATAGGTGGGGGGAGAGGAGGAGGAGGAGGGAGAGGGAAAGCAGGAGGATGGAGAGCAGGAGGAGAGAAGGGAGAGGAGGGGGAGAGCAAGAGGAGGGGAGGAGGGGGGAGGGAGAGGAGGAGGTCGAAGGCGAGGAGGGGGAGCAGGAGCGAGAAAAAGACGAGGAGACCCCGAGCTGGAGACCCCCCTGCGGGGAGCTCTCTGCCGGGGGTCCAGGCGGACCGCAGGGCAGTCGGGCAAGGATGCAGGGCTGGGCTCCTCTTGGCTGTCGGACCTGTGGTGTCGTCTCAGACGCGGTCACACAGGAAGCTACTGACGCCTTGGGGACAGAGAGGCCGACCCTCTGGAGGGAGAGCTGGGGGCAGAGCCCCGGAACGGCACCCCGAAGGGGGGACAGACAGACGGGAGGGTCCCAGCAGCCCCAAGGGCGGACCAGAGAGCAGTGGACGTGTGGCCAAGGGGAAACCGTGAGGTGTAGTCCGGGGGACTCGGCAGCACAGACCCAGGAGCGCCTTCCAGAAGGATCTCGGCATGGGCGGGGGTCTCTGGCAGGCTGGTGTCTGAGCAGCTGGCCCTCATTCAACCAGATATCCTGTCAGGCATCTGTCTTGGTGTTTTGCCCCGTCTTCAACCTTGAAATGACCTTCTCTCTGCCTCCCCTGCATCCGAATTTGTAAGAAGCCTGTTTTAAAGGCATCTTCTAGGGGCGCCTGGGGGGCTCAGTTGGTTAAACGTCCGACTTTGGCTCAGGTCATGACCTCACGGTTTGTGGGTTCGAGCCCCACGACCGGCTCTGTGCTGACGGCTCAGAGCCTGGAGCCCTCTTCGGATTCTGTGTCTCCCTCTCTCTCCGCCCCTCCCCTGCTCATGCCCTGTCTCTCTCTCCCTTTCTCTCTCTCAAAAATAAATAAATATTAAAAAAAAAAATTTAAGTATCTTCTAGGGGATGAAAAATATTGATTTGTTTTACTCATAAAAAATTTTTTTTTCTTCCCTAGAGAGATTAAGTCTGCCCAACATCACCGGAATGTGTAATAAATCCTATTCAATCATGGAGTGGAAAATGTCAAGCCACTTTAATCACAGATTTACATATGAACTTGAAATACAAAAGGTAAATGCTTGCCCCCACTGGAAATTCTAGATTCTCCAGAATCTGTACCCTGAGGGTTTGGAAGCAGATAAAGACACACACACACACACACACACACACACACACACACACACACACACAAATATGAACCAAAAAGAATTGTTTTTAATCTTTTAAAACTAAACATTAAATAAAAAATAAGCAAAAATAAATTTAAAAATAAATAGAAGCTAAACTCTACATAAAATGAAAAAAGCTAACAAAAAATGGAAAAAAGTAAAGATCATTTAAGTTTTTGTGTGTGTGTGTCTAAAAATCATCAAAAAAATGTATGAAGCATAAAAAAATTTTTTAGCTTTACCAAAAGTAACAGTGTTGGCTATTGAAAAGACAGAGGTAAAAGTGAAAAGGCAGGTCACACGTGGAAGAAACCAGTTGCGCATTTGTCTGTCAAAGGATGCACGTCTAGGGTGGATAAGGAATTCTTTCAAGTCAATACCAACAAGATAAACAACTGTATAAAAAACCCAAAGGGCAAAATGTTGAAACAGCCACTTCCCCAAAGAAGATGTATTCATGACCCATAAATACATGAAAAGGTAGCAGAGAAAATGCAAACTGCAGGGAGAGGCCGGTCCACACCCGTTAGATCTGCGAAAATGACAAAGTCTGGCCCAACCCAGTGTCAGGCAGGTTGTCACCCACTTGACTGGAACACTTTTGTGCCACTAACTTGTGGCCATTTCGAACGGTATGGCCCGTTTCAGGAAACCCGCAGGTGGCTCCTTCTTCTGTGAGATGTTCCTCATGGATGAGCATTCTCTGCATTGCAAGAGCCAGGATAAAACCATATCCTTTACTTAAAAAATGGCGCAGTCGCTTTGGAAGAGCCTTTGGTTCCAGCTTACGAAGGCAGCAGATCCCCTGCAAGGTGTGGCTCCCAGAGAAGTGTAAACATAATCCCAGTAGAGTGGGGCCCTGACTGGTCACAGCAGCTGTGTTTGGGAATGACCCAAGAGAAGGGACGAACAAAATATAGCCACACTGTGGAATCCGACCCCCCACGAATGTCAGCCGGACACAAGGGCCACCCTGGGGCATCCCGTGTATACACAGAGGCGTGGAAAATGCAGAGTGATGTCTAGTGAGTAACACACCTGGCTGCTTCTGTCCGTGGAGCATGTGACACTTCATCTGAGGGATCGTGAGTTTGCGCCCCATGTTGGGCGCAGAGATGATTAATCAATAAATTTCAAAAATTTTAAGTCTGCAAATTGAAGGACAATGAGGAAACATTTGGAGGTAGTTAGTATTCCATACTCAATTATTGACTTAAAGGTATCACTTTTCTTTACTTCTTTGTATATTCTGTTTATTGTTTATAGTTCACTAGTGATGATACGTCATGTTTCTGCAAATGTACAAGTGGTCGAAAACACAAACGTTATTAATTCTACGTTTTTTTTGTTTTTTGTTTTTGTTTTATAAGACCAGGTACAGGGGCGCGTGGGTGGCTCAGTCGGCCAAGCGTCCGACTCTGGATTTTGGCTCAGGTCATGGTGTCACAGTTTGTGAGTTCGAGGCCCGAAGGGGCTCTGTGCTGACGGTGTGGGGAACCTGCTTGGGATTCTCGCTCTCTCCCTCCCTCTCTGCCGCTCCCGTGCATTCTCTCTCTCTCTCTCTCAAAACAAAAAACAAAAAACGGTCTGAAACAGGACCCAAACCGACGAACTGTGAGGTCATGGCCTGAGCCGAAATCCAAAGCCGGACGCTTAAGCAAGTGACCGCTCCCCCCCCCCCCCCCCCCCCCCCCC